GTGGTATTCCACCACCCAATTATCATATAGATGGGCGAGCACTTGAGAACTGCGAGTCTTACAGATACCTTGGTGTCCCCATTAACGACCCTGGGTACCTTTCTTCTCTCAAGAGGAGACTTTGGGAGAGATTAAAGCCCTTGCGGGTCCTTGTTGGTGTCAATCATGGGCTTAACGTGAGACTTGCTAGAATGTTTTATGTATCATTTATACGCTCTGTGATTGACTACAATGCTCTACATCTCACACTGTATACTGACAAAGAGCTGAAATCTCTTGAAACCTTGCAAAATGAAGCTATGCGTCTCATCCTTGGGGCTCCAAAGTCCACGAGAATAGTTAACATGAGAGCAGAGTTAAAATTACCTACCATAAGTGAGAGAATCTTGTCTATTAGCACAGTTTTCGGCGTGAAGGCATTGAGTAGATCTAGACAACACATGAAGTTTCAAGCTAAACTTTCTAATATGCTACACTCACCTGAGGTCTATAGAAGAAGAACGAAATCTGATTATGTATATTGGTTCTACAAGGTAGCCAACTCCATCAAAATATTAAATATGTACCCAACTCGACTAATGATTAATCAGCCAATTACTCCATGGGATAACTGGGATCTATCAGTTGATTTTGTAAATGCGCCCAAGAAAGATAGTGTGCACACTACATTGTTAAAACAGTTAACACTGAAAAGCATCACTGAAAGTACTCAGAGTATGGGTAACGATGTTTATCAGTGCTATACCGACGGCTCTGTAGAAGAAGGTGGACGATGTACCGGATGTGCATGTAACATATTTGAACAATCTTCTCTCGTACATACAGCAATGAAGCGCGTCAATGACTGGGCAAGTACAACTCAAACCGAACTTGCAGGCATATACCTTGCCACTGAATTTTTAAAAGACAAAGGCAGTGGACTTATATACTGTGACTCGCAGAGTGCACTCCTGGCATTGAACGCACATAGTAGTGACACCCAGAAAATAGTCAGTGATATTCGAATGAATGTTTTAGCTGCCAAAGAAAACAGATTTGAGATTAAATTCCTATGGATACCATCACATGTTGGCATCTCAAGGCATGACACTGTTGATATGCTTGCTAAGTCAGCTTGCAGAAAACCAGTGGTAGAAATTGATATGGGTGTTTCATTAGCAGTGACAAAGAGAATACTTAAACAAATATCTAATGAAAATCTCACCGACCTAACAAATTCTCAAAGACCTGAAAGTTGTAGCATTAAATATTATGATAGATATCGTGAGGAGACATTCACATATGGGACTAATAGAACAAGAACCCGGCAATGTGATGTTATAGTGGCCAGAATACGCCTGGGATATAGACGTATCTGGCAGCTTTCTCAAAACCCAAATGTCGAGTACACAATGTGTCAACTTTGTGAAAGAGAAAACATGCACTCTCTTGAACATTATATTGTAGAATGTCCCATACTGACTGACTTTCGCCCTCCTGGGCTAAGGTATGCTGAACTCTGTAGTTACTATATGAGTACTGGAACACTTGATGATATATTGGACTTGTATCCAAAATTGACCATGTAATGTATCAATCATACAATGTATGTATGTGATGTAACTATATAACCTGAGCTTGTAAAAGCACCTTCATCACCTTCAGTGATTAAGTGCTTAATTGCACACTAGTTTCTTTATCAGCTACCTCACCCTGTCAGGGTAAATGAGACAAATGTATGTGAATGCATGTATGTGTGTATATATGTATGTGTATGTGTGTGTGTGTATGTATATGTATGGGTATAAAGCAAATATGGAAGCTGATCAGAATTACATTTCACCTTTGTGAATGTACATTAATGACACTATGTAAAAGACACATCTAATACTTTATGTAGGGCGTACGTAAATCTGTGTATCTTTGTATTTACGTATGTAGGTTAGCTTAGCATTTTAAAAGCACCGAATCACCTTCTGTGGTTGAGTGTTCAATAAACCCTTGAACTGTATGTTTAACACTTCTCTAACCCTGTCCATGGAGGACAGAAGAAAATGTATATATGCTGGTTAGCATTGTAAATGTGTGGCCACGTCTGTGGTAGAAAATAATAAAAAAAAAAAAAAAAAAAAAAAAAAAAAAAAGGTGTATGCCAGCCCATTCACACCATTTGCCACTCCCACACAAAAATGCAACTTTTTTTTTTTTGAGATATATACAAGAGTTGTTACATTCTTGTATAGCCACTAGTACGCGTAGCGTTTCGGGCAGGTCCATGGAATACGATCCCCGCCACGAAGAATCGTTGTTACAACCAAAGTACACATTTTATTGTTGCGTTAAACAGAGGCTACAGTTAAGGATTTGCGCCCAGTAAATCCTCCCCGGCCAGGATACGAACCCATGACATAGCGCTCGCGGAACGCCAGGCGAGTGTCTTACCACTACACCACGGAGACTGTCAATTGTTTTGCTTAACCAGAATGGCACGAAACTAAGCAACCCACCTAGCTTACTGAGGCCCATGTGTAGATAACTTCCCCCTCCCTCCCTCCCCCATATATAAACATATATGGTTTACACAAAAGACTTTACTCACTACATGCTTCGATAATGATATTGTATAACCATTGTATGATAGCAATGGAACTACAGCACACTTTAGGCTAGTGAAAGGCATACAATGATTAACCATTGCCAGAGTCTACCCTGAAACCGCTTCCATTTTCTGTAATCACGTACATAATTCAACACCGACGGTCTCCGGAGGAACTCAAGTATATTTTCTAGAAACCAAGATATTATTTTTTCTTTTGTAAACAAATAATTTAAATTACCATATACAGTATTAAAGTATATACGATACGTGACCAAAAAAGTTACTTAACATACGCATCAAGGAGCGGCATGTGTTTACTTAATGGTGTTCCTTAGGCAAGTATATGATGTCACAAAGCTTGCTGGATTCACCAAAACCTGCTACAATTTTCAATCCAAATAGATACAGTCATCAGGACATATGGAGGGGCTTTTGACAAGCCGCTGGCTCCCTATCCTCGGCGAGGCTATTACTGGGATGGTGGCTCGTACAATGGCCACCATTGTACGTTGGAAATGTATTGGCCAAGCCATTACAACTATATAACACTTGGAAGAAGGGTCAGGATAAGGATTTGGGGTGGGACGGAGAGAAGGAATGGTGTCCAACCACTTGGACGGTCGGGGATTGAACGCATGAAGGATTTTTTTGTTTATAAATTATTTTCTACCACAAACGTGGCTACACATGTACAATGCTAACCAGCATATATACATTTTCTTCTGTCATCCATGGACAGGGTTAGAGATCTGTTAAACATATAATTCAGTGATTTATTGAATAATCAACCACAGAAGGTGATTGTAGTGCTTTTAAAATGCTAATCTACCCTACGAACATAAATACACAGATTTACGTCTGTCCTACATAAACAGTGTTCGCGGTGGTTTTTTACATAATGTCATTAATGTGCGTTTACAAAGGTGAAATGTAATTCTAACCGACTTCCACAAAATCCTGCATACAAATACACACGCACATACATATATACACATATACCTATGCATATCCACACATATATACATACACCTATGTCTCTCCTACTTTGACAGGGCAAAGATAGCTTCTATTGTGCATGAAAGAGACCGTTGCTCTACCGTCCAACCCAAGTGTAGAGCATAAGAATTGTTTTAAATATTCGTGTGTATAAAGTAGTTATAAAAATTCAAATATCTTCCGACCTATTTTTTGTCACATTTTCTATAAAAATTATGAACTGAGTTCGCTTCTATAGCTTTCTCTTTTAGCTCATCCCATGTTCTACTATTCTTAAGTTTAACAATTGTCTTTCAAACATCTCTATGGTTTATTTGTTTCTCAAGCCTCTATCCATGCCTTCTAGTACTGTTGATATTTATTGTGAACATTTCCCTATTCTTTCTTGCTTACCCTAAGTAATTTATACGTCTTTACTGTGTCTCCTCTCTCTATATATTCTCTTTTCCTCATGTCGTATCCGTTGCACTTCTGGGACGATCCTCGTTGGAAATCTCACCATCTTTTCAAGATTCCTTATTATTATATTTCATATAGCGGCTCCAGGATGGGGCGGCATACTCCAGGACTGTTCTCACGTACGTGGCCTACAGTAATCTCAATGTCTCCTTATTAGGTTCCTGAGCGATGTTTTGATTTTTGCTAGTAGAGAGTATGGTGCTGACGATGTTATCTTATGTGCCTCCGGAATTAGGTTTGGTGTTATCTACACTCAGTTCTTTTTCTGTAAACGTTGCAGGGAGGCAGTTTCCCCTTCGCTGTGTGCTGTCCTTCTGATATCTTTGGCACCTCTTACTATTTTTTCGCCTTATACTTTCTGGTGGTGACATCCCCGAAAAACTCATTTCTTTAACCAACACGCAGCTTGTCGTAAGACATCTTGCGTATGTGTAGTTTCCTTTTTCTATCCCTTTTGTGTGTGTGTGTGTGTGTGTGTGTGTGTGTGTGTGTGTGTGTGTGTGTGTGTGTGTGTGTGAAATATTGAATATAGGAACCCGGTAACACACCCGCGGTCCCGCACCCACACACATCTGTGTATTTCGCCAAGCATGCCAAATAAAGTCAGTTGTGCAGGTGATAAGACAAAGAGTGCACTACCCACTACGCCGTCACCTCCCACAGTCACCGTCACCTCCCACAGCCACCGCCACCCACGACACGCCCACACGCGTACACACAATCTTTATTTTTATCAGTCAGGGAGTCATTGTTCTCTACCTACACACCTCCACCTCCATGCACACACACACACACACTCGCCTGCATATACAAAGCACATACCCGTACACACAAAAAGTCTATTCAAGTTGAGTCCAGGAGCTAAACCTCAACCCTGCATACGTGAGTGAGTACGCACAAGTGCCCCCCACGTCCCACCCCCACCATGTAGGTAATCCTGGAGTAACATCAGTCTCTGCTGCTGCAGGTGGTGAAGCAGCTGATTGTGAACGGCGCGGACGTCCACCAAAGATGCCGCTGGACCCACATGACGGCGCTGCACTATGCCGCTTACTTCGATGTCGCCCCAGTCCTCGACGTCCTCCTGCAGGACCCACAGGGTACGACCGGCGCTTCTCTTCATAGACAGTTTACTTCCCCCATTTTTAATTAATAAATAAAGCTATATGAAGTACAAATTGAGTTCGTTTGTCGACAATGGTGTTTGTAATGGGGTAGTTACAGATGCCCTTGTCCTGGTCAGGTGTGTGTATCAACGACGCCTGCTTGGAGTACTCCGGCGGCGCCCCTTTGCACATCGCGGCGGCCAACCTGAGCCTGGAGGCGGTGAGGGTCCTGCTGCAGCATGGCGCCGCCCTCTCACTCACTGACACACAGGGACGAACACCCTTCCGTAAGTTACATCTCCAGCGATCGCTTTGTACAGGTGGCCAGAAGCGGTAGTGGTGGTTGTAAGTGGCAAATAAATTTAGAGGTCGAGGAGCACTAATGGTGGTCCTCGTACCTCCGCCAGCCCGCTGCTTGATGTCATCAGCTGTTTAATCCAAAACAAAAAAAACTTGTTAAATGTAATTAAGTTGACCCTGTAGTGTAGTGTAGTGTAAGTTGACCCCGTTTAAACTAAACTTGTTTCGTGTGGCTAGTTACTGCTCTTTTACGCTAAACATTTTTGTTTTTAATATTAAACCCAAAAAGTTAAATTGTGAGGAAAGTATATTAACTTTGTGCACGAGTGAAGGAGAGCACTGAGCACTGTGCGTGCACAGCTCTTCTCTGAGAGTCGTGTAACAACATATATCACTACAGTAAGTCACAGGGGATGTATACACATAGAGACGTGTCCCTCGTTAGTCCCGGAACATGTCAAGGACTAACTTGGTGTACCAAGTTCAGCTCCACACCACACCCAACATGGTAGTACTGACGTCTGTATGTCGTTCACCCAAGTGACTTGGTAACACTCCTTATTTTGCCATGGAAAACATCAGATTTTCCTTTATTAAGTAATATACATATATGTACATGCATGTATACATACATATTAGATTTCAAAACACGTTTATATATCGGGAACAAACAGTTGAGCTTGTATATATTCTAACCTTTGATATATTTTCTGTCGTATGAAATTAATTAAAGAAGAAAATATTTACGTAATGAAATCACAATGAGGTAATGTATCTATGGGGAAATGTTTGGAGGAGGTGGAAGGAGTAGAGGTGGAACCCGCACGCACGCACGCACCACGGCTACATAGCGGCGCTTCTGCTGCGATTCCACTACCACGCTCCGAACAAATATTGTCCAGAATAGCTGTGTTTGACAGTGTTGTTGTGTCCTGCAGAGTGCATCCCGACGCCAGACCAATACGAGCTGGTCCCCGACGTGCAGGACGTTATAGCCAAGCTGCGCGCCCTCCTCTCCCCCGGCGCCTCCCACCTGTACACTGCCGCCCACGCCGCCCACACCAGCCAGGGGGCGTCGGGCAGGGCGGTACTTAAGGCCATGGGACTGAAGCTGGGTGACCGGGTCCTCATCAGCGGTGTCAAGACAGGAACACTGAGGTGAGAAGTAACGCTTAGAGTTTCCCCTGGTGTTAACGTTTTCTTTACGGCAGGTGTATTTTCCATTACTGTTTTAGTTTTATTATAAAGTAAATAAATATAAATAAATAGTTTATTAAGGTAAAAGTACATACATAGAATGTTGAATTTCTACATAGAGCTAGTATATATATATATATATATATATATATATATATATATATATATATATATATATATATATATATATATATATATATATGTCGTACCTAGTAGCCAGAACGCACTTATCAGCCTACTATACAAGGCCCGATTTGCCTAATAAGCCAAGTTTTCATGAAATAATGTTTTTTCGGCTACCTAACCTAACCTAACCTATAAAGATAGGTTAGGTTAGGTTAGGTAGGGTTGGTTAGGTTCGGTCATATATCTAAGTTAATTTTAACTCCAATAAAAAAAATTGACCTCATACATAATGAAATGGGTAGCTTTATCATTTCATAAGAAAAAAATTAGAGAAAATATATTAATTCAGGAAAACTTGGCTTATTAGGCAAAACGGGCCTTGCATAATAGGCTGAGAAGTGCGTTCTGGCTACTAGGTAAGACATATATATATATATATATATATATATATATATATATATATATATATATATATATATATATATATATATATATATATATATATATATATGTGTGTGTGTATATCACGAAAATAAACACGTGATTAAGAATGTGACAATGTCAGACCACGGAGGAAAAATGAAACAGGAATTTCCTTAAGTACTTTCGTATATTAAATACATCTTCAGAAGGTGCCTTCTGAAGATGTATTTAATATACGAAAGTACTTAAGGAAATTCCTGTTTCATTTTTCCTCCGTGGTCTGACATTGTCATATATATATATATATATATATATATATATATATATATATATATATATATATATATATATATATATATATATATATATATATATATATATACTATGCCTAAAGCCACTAATACACAGCGTTTTGGGCAAAATTTGGAGAGGGGGGGACTAAAAAACTAAAACTTAAGACTAATTGAGATCAAAAGCATAAATTAAACTGAAGTAGAAGAAAGAATGACAATAATTACATGTTGAATTAACAGTAGCAATTGCAACAGAGGAACAGATAGTAATTTTGAATAAATAAACAGACGGACTACACTTTTCTTAAGTTTATATGTGGCAGAAATCAGCAGTTTTACAAATTTGTCATTAATCATTAATGTTTGACAATAGAAGACATAGGTTGGCATTTAGGAGGTAAGGTAGGTTACATGAAGTTGATAAGGAAGTACTTAGTTTATCTCTTAAACTGGTTGAGAAATGGGCAGCCTTTGTCGTGATTGGGAAGGTCATTCCCACATTTTTGGACCCTTGGTTTGCATAGCGTTTCTAGTATCTATATTATTTTACCAAGACTGACTTTAATATCCAAATCTGCTTTGTTTTAGGTTTGCGGATATATTTAAATTCTTATTTTTCTACTATACAGTATTAATGGCATAAATGATTTGATGTGGTTTGGAAGGAAGCATCATTAAACTGTGTGTGCTTCTGCAGGTTCGTAGGCACGACGGAGTTCGCGACTGGCTTGTGGGCGGGAGTGGAGCTGGAGACGCCCTCGGGTCGCCACAACGGCACAGTCAAGGGCGTTATGTACTTCAGATGTGCCAAGAGCTATGGTCAGTCGCCACCGCTCTGATGCCACGCTCTTAGATGCACGTAAACAGTGATTGATTAATATTGAAGTTTATACAACGCTGTTTTCATCACAATTCATTTATGTTCTGTGCAGGAATCTTCGTGCCTATGAATCGTCTGACGAAGATTCCCAACGTGAGCTGTGGTCGCCAGGGTCGTTCGACGTCTGTGTCGCAGCGGCAGAGGTCCAGGACGACGTCGCGACGCTCAGTTTCCCTTCCCCCAGGGCGGGTCAACCACGGCCGCGTCGACGTGTCCAGAGTGTCGTCCAGGGTGGCTCAGGGTCAGTCTCTCACACACATACACACACACACACACACACACACACACACACACACACACACACACACACACACACACACACACACACACACACACACACACACACACACACAGGGAGAAGCGCCCCTTTAAAATAAGTAGATGGAGCACCACTTGGCAAATGGAATTTAATGTTAATAAATGTCATGGTATGGAATGTGGAATAGGAGAACATAGACCCCACACAACCTATATATTATGTGAGAAATCTTTAAAGAATTCTGATAAAGAAAAAGATCTAGGGGTGGTTCTAGATAGAAAACTATCACCTGAGGACCACATAAAGAATATTGTGCAAGGAGCCTATGCTATGCTTTCTAACTTCAGAATTGCATTTAAATACATGGATGGCGATATACTAAAGAAATTGTTCATGACTTGTTAGGCCAAAGTTAGAATATGCAGCGGTTGTGTGGTGCCCATATCTTAAGAAGCACATCAACAAATTGGAAAAGGTGCAAAGACATGCTACTAAGTGGCTCCCAGAACTAAAGGGTAAGAGCTACGAGGAGAGGTTAGAAGCATTAAACATGCCAAAACTAGAAGACAGAAGAAAAAGAGGTGATATGATCACTACATACAAAATAGTAACAGGAATTGATAAAATCGACAGGGAAGATTTCCTGAGACCTGGCACTTCAAGAACAAGAGGTCATAGATTTAAACTAGCTAAACACAGATGCCGAAGAAATATAAGAAAATTCACCTTCGCAAATAGAGTGGTAGACGGTTGGAACAAGTTAAGTGAGAAGGTGGTGGAGGCCAAGACCGTCAGTAGTTTCAAAGCGTTATATGACAAAGAGTGCTGGGAAGACGGGACACCACGAGCGTAGCTCTCATCCTGTAATTACACTTAGGTAATTACACACACACACACACACACACCATACACAGGCTGACTCCATACACAGTTTCAAATGTAGATATGATAGAGCCCAGTACGCTCAGGAATCCGTACACCAGTTGATTGACAGTTGAGAGGCGGGACCAAAGAGCGAAAACTCAACCCCCGCAAGCACAAATAGGTGAGTACACACACACACCACCCTCGTCCGTAACTCTGGGGTCTGATGCTTGGCCTCCTGTCTGTTGCGCTCATCCACCTCCATGCTGGTCCTCACCACCTGTGGCTACGTTACCCATCCTCACATTATTTAATATTTAGTTTCGATTAGGTGTTGTTCCCCGTCAGAATTAGTTCTCGAGTTAGGTGTTTATGTAAATTGTTTGCATCATAAATTCCTGAAGAAAGGATTTTGGCTAGATATTAAGGTTAGCAATGCTTGGAAGCGAGAAGACCTGGGTTCGAATCCTTGGCAGGGTGTAATGATTGAACACCGTTCCTTCACTGTTCGTCCTTTTGAACTCAGAAATGAGTAAGGACCTGGTTGTAAAACTATTAGCTAATCATGTACTTGGGAGAATAACTTTGGTCAGAATATGAATCGAACTGTGGGACGAAGAGCTCATAGCCTACATATCAGAGTTATGACATCTGCTCTTGGACTCTCTACGTCGTAGAAACAAAAAATGGGAATACAGCAATGCAGGGCAGTCACGTGACCCGCGGCTGCCCTGTTTGCTGTCCCAAGGAAGGAAATGTGTACACCTTGTTGCTTCAAGATGACTGTGCCACTCAGCACAGCAGTGTGCTCTGGGGCTGCTGTACTCCGCTGCTCCCCAAAACACTGAGAGAGCTCCACATGAAGGTAGGGGGACATCGTCCTGCATCCGTTTCTGTTCATTGCCCTTGAATAGAATAATCCTCATTGCTTGTTGTACACCAATATCTTTGTATCCCAATGTCTTTAGATGGACTTGTTGCTGTGACCATGGTTGGCAGTTGTGCCGTTCATGGTCTCCACAGTTAATCATTTGATTGGCAGAATCCGCAGTGAATGAGTTGGGACCTTTCATTCCGGCTGGCTATGTCTGCAGCCTTCCCTTGCATCATGACATATATGACACCCTCACGGCGGTGTACTTATTTTCCTCTCGTAGAAGCAAAGGAACATCCTGCTACAGCATATGTTTAATTAATATATGATTCGTGAGGTCGTCTGTCGGCTTCATCTAGATGGTATCCAGCAGCAGAATCATCAGTCGCACTCGTTTGGGGGAGAGGACTTCATCCAAAGGATCGACACACAATGAGTGGAAGACCCGGAGCCTGGTGTGTTGGTCAGCCTGGGGCAGCACCACAGCATGGACACAGCATGGTCCCAGAGGAGTAAGGGCCCAGGGTATGCCCCCTGGACCCTTATCCCTCTGGATGGTGTAATCATGAAAGATGCTGTAGCTGGGAGAAAAGTGTGCCGTGACTGATCCTCACTTTGAGATGACGAATCTTCCTTCCACTGCTCTTCTTGAACTTCTCTCGAAGCACCAGCATTTGCATGTATAGTGATGACACTATGCATGGAATATGTGCTTATGAGGAAGTTAGAGACAAGCAAGCGAGCGAAAATGTCCCAGTTGAGTATCAGTTACGTACAGAGACTCATCCTTATTGTGAGTATGTTGACCTTTATTATTAAAGTGGCTGTCGCTCAAGTCTCCGCTGATTGAAGCGAATAAAATGTTGCTACTCAAGATGTAGTGGGTAGGGTCTTAGAGCGCAGTGGTCTGCGTCCTTAGCTCACAACCCGACGATCCTGGATTTCATCCCCAGGAGCGTTTGGTTGGGCATGTTTCCTTTTACCTGATACCTCTGTTCACCTTGTAAATAAATACCCTGGAGTAAGGCAACTGTTGTGGTTTGCATTCTGGGGAAGGTCATCAGTAGTTGACCTAGAGAAAAATTTAATCCTAACAGGCATACTGTTCCCAACTACATATGTACATGTACATATATACATACATACATATACAGACTCCAAAACTATTACCACACACATACCCACACGCACATATGCATACATGTGGTCGAATGGCCTTAATTCAGTCAGGGGATGATGATAGTGCAGGTCGTGGCCGCCAGTCCTAATACTGCGGTGATGTAATGAGTGGGAGGGAGAGAGGGAGGGGGTCCCTCTCCACCACTGTGAGGACCCCCTCACACATGCCCCCTCACAGTAGTGTCAAGGCTTACACGCCCCTACTGCTCAACACGCCTAGGAATATCCTATGAGTTCGATTGGCAAACTTAGGAGTTAGTGGGATCTGAAAACATGAATGGGAGCCCTTTAACTCACACACGTCCACACGCACACATCCACACGCACGCCCATACACGTACACCCACACACTTTGCATTTAAATACATGGATGGCGATATACTAAAGAAGTTGTTCATGACTTTTGTTAGGCCAAAGCTAGAATATGCAGCTGTTGTGTGGTGCCCATATCTTAAGAAGCACATCAACAAACTGGAAAAGGTGCAAAGACATGCTACTAAGTGGCTCCCAGAACTGAAGGGCAAGAGCTACGAGGAGAGGTTAGAAGCATTAAATATGCCGAAACTAGAAGACAGAAGAAAAAGAGGTGATATGATCACTACGTACAAATAGTAACAGGAATTGATAAAATCGACAGGGAAGACTTCCTGAGACCTGGAACTTCAAGAACAAGAGGCCATAGATTTAAACTAGCTAAACACAGATGCCGAAGAAATATAAGAAAATTCACCTTCGCAAATAGAGTGGTAGACGGTTGGAACAAGTTAAGTGAGAAGGTGGTGGAGGCCAAGACCGTCAGTAGTTTCAAAGCGTTATATGACAAAGAGTGCTGGGAAGACGGGACACCACGAGCGTAGCTCTCATCCTGTAACTACACTTAGGTAATTACACTTAGGTAATTACACGCACACTCAGATTCTCAAAGGAATTGATAGGGTAGACAAAGACAGTTTATTTAACTCAAGAGGCACACGCACTAGGGGACACAGGTGGAAATTGAGTGCCCGAATGAGCCATAGGAACATTAGATTTTTTTTTTTTTTAGTGTTAGAGTAGTTAACAGGTGGAATGCATTAGGCAGTGATGTGGTGGAGGCTGACTCCATACACAGTTTTAAGTGTAGATATGATAGGGCCCAATAGGCTCAGGAACCTGTACACCTGTTGATTGACAGTTGAGAAGCGGGACCAAAGAGCCGAAGCTCAACCCACACACGTGGGTGTGCCATTGATAATGAACACACCTGCCATTTATAATTACCACACACACACTTGTCATTGATAATGAACACACCTGCCGTTGATAATGAACACACCTGCCATTGCTAGTGAAGACACACCTGCCGTTGATAATGAACAATAGCTCACCGCGCCCACATAACTGATGATGACTGACGGCCGGCAGATATCCGGGACACGAGCCGCAAGATGGCGCTGGGCGACCGGGTGTACGTGGACATGGGCGTGGGCACCGGGTCGACGCGGGTGGTGACGGGCGTGGTGAAGTACACGGGCGGCGTGCACTTCGCCTCGGGCTTCTGGGTGGGCGTGGAGCTGGACGTGGCCCGCGGCACCAACGACGGCTCCGTCAACGCCACCAGATACTTCGCCTGCAGGAGCCACCACGGCATCTTCGCCTCACCTTCGAGGATTATCAAGTGAGCTTCACGCCGTCTTAGACTAGCAGTAGACATTTGGAGGGAAGAACTTAAGGGTGTTTGTAGTTGGGTCTAAGGTTAAATGGCTCCTTAATTTTTAATAATAAATTAATTTTGCAATAATGCTTGACGGTAATAACCAAAATTAGTCATTTCTAACTTAACTCCATTTAGATTAAGTTTTTGAAGGTAAAGCTTGCTAAATATTTTAATTTCTGTTCTGAAGTAAGTAAAGCTCTTGGTTGACTTAGTGCCACTGTTCTAGTCATTTACCCGCTGTTGAACAAAGAACATGCACGCACGCACGCACGCGCGTGTACACACACACACACATTAGTTGAACACGAACAACTGGAAGTTAGGATTTTTTTATTTGCTCAGTCTTAAGCTTCTGGATAATGGTAGCCAGATCTAGTGGATACAAGGCTGCATCAGGTGTAGGTACTAGGCTCCGTCAGGTGTGGGAACTGGGCCCCATCAGGTGTGGGAACTGGGCCCCATCAGGTGTGGGTAGAGCGCTGCATCAGGTTACACTAACGAAGGGATCCACCCGCCATTCAAATAACCACTTTTTATATACGTTAACCATAAGAGTAACTGTTAATTAGATCACACTTATTTCTTTATTAATAGATAATGGTGAGAGAGGAACTGTTAAACATTTTGACCAGACCACACACTAGAAGGTGAAGGGACGACGACGTTTCGGTCCGTCCTGGACCATTCTCAAGTCGATTGTTAAACATTTGAACTTCTGACATTAACATAGTATTATTATTCTAACTGCCCAATTGATGATCATTGATATTGGTGCGTTGTTTGTGAGGATATTGGAGGTTGCAGGTGTGTGTAGCCTGTTAGGCAACGATGTTTGTAGGGTGGTGATACAGCAGGAAATATTTAAAGTGTTTAGGTCTCTTCTTGAGTAGAATTACAAATCTTGAGACGAAGCCAACCTCTTGAGGTGCCAACCTGGAGTGCTAATTTACATCTTTATTGTTGCATGAGCACTCCTTCGTTGAGTCAAACCGCAGCATCTGCCATAATATACATTTGTAGTTATAATATAGAGCAATAAGCACTAACGTTAGACTGAGAATTTGTTTGTCTTGCATTTCTTAGTAATCTGTATGTTAGTCTCATTAAGTAAGGCATTACTATTAATATATTAATGTTAGTTTAGTAGCTTGCAATAACATCAGTTTAAGCAGTTTACATGCGTAACTTACTTGCAGTAGTATACTAATATCTACTATTACTATTTCCCTTCCCTCCATGGTCCTATCAATTATACCTGTTATCCACCCTCCCCTATTACAATCCTCTGGAACATTTGTTACCCCTGATCCTTTCTCTCGTACCATCCTTGTGCCCTTGCTACCCATATCTCCTCATTTGTGGATGTTCCCTGCCCCATGGACGGTCCTCATACTACCCTCACCCACCGTGCACATTGTTCACGCCACCCTCCACCACGCACGCCCCTCACCACCCTACAGAATCAGTATGGACCACGACGGAGACGGGACTCAGGATCTTCCTGGTGACTCGTCATCGCTGAGCTTCAGCCGCCACTCCCTCAGCTCAGCACACGGCTCCAACAGCACCATTAATGCCATCTCCAGTGGTCCTCTTAGCTTGGGTTGCATGGCTCCTATGAGTCACAGTTCTCATGGCCCCATGAGTCTCAGTTCTCATGGCCCCATGAGTCTCAGTTCTCATGGCCCCGTGAGTCTAGGCTCTAGTGGTAGCATGGTTGGTGTGGGATCCAGCTCTGGAACAAACGGAGTATCAAATGGTGCCACAATAACGAACATGAAAGACTGTACATCATACTCATCGTCTCGTCATCTGCTCGATAATCAGGTGCCAGGGTCGCCGAAGAAGGCGCAGGCGGTGAAGACGGCCCTCTACCCATCCAACACAACCATGACTAGCCTCAATAGATCTTTCTCAGTCCGGTGAGTCAATTCTTCCCCTCCCTCCAAGGACCAAATAATCCTGCGAACTTCTGATGCTCCTTAATTATCTGCCTTATATTGTTACGAAGATGGGAATAATTTTTTTATAAAATAATGTCAGAAATCTTAAAGTGAATCTAAAGTAAGATGTATCCCATGCAATATCGTTCGTCAGTGCTCGGTAATTTGTGTTTACTGTACTAAATATTTCAAGTTTTTAGCGGTATATATTATAGGCTTCTTACAAGTCCACAAGACACTCCCAGAAGTCTTATCCCTCTACTTGTCTACTGGCTTGCAAGGCTGTTGTTTGAACAGCAACATAAGAAAGTTTGCAGACGCCAAAGTTGAGTCGCTTTATAGAAATACGTTTGGCACATTCTTCTACTATTAATACACTGGAGGGGTCAGGTCAGGGTGGAGAAGGTGCAATGAAATCAGTGTGATGGTGTAAACAGGTCAGGGTTGCAAAGGTGTGAGGGAGGTCAGGATGGTAAAGGTGCAGCGAGGTCAGTCTATTACCTTCTTCAACTATCTCGTACAGCATAAATATGTACTCACAGGGCTAGAGCTCAACAAAATATTGTCTTTGTTTATTGGTCTGACACGCCCGAGGGTCTCCTCCCTGCCCACCCTAGCTAGGGTGGGCAGGGAGGAGACCTATCCTCACACGCTACGAATTTCGGTTTTGTAAGTAGGTGTAGATTGGGGGGGGGAGGGTGAACACCTTGGTACATGATGTCACTGCTACCTATTATTATCAATAGTTCAACATTATCAATAGTATTATCACCGCCACCTCTTATCAAGAGTGATAGCACTGCTACCTATTATTATCAATAGTATTATCACCGCTATCTCTTATCAAGAGTGATAGCACTGCTATATATTTTAGTCGATATCGATAGTGCTACTGCAGATTATATTCTATAGGAATAGTGCACCAACATTTATGTAAGTACAGTACTGACATAGCGGAAGCTATTAACCCTAGCACAGGTGAGCCCTTGGTGCAGAGTATATGAAACATTCGTCTGGTATTAGGCGTAAATCCTATTAAATACAAGGGTTATTAAAACCTAACAACTGTGGCGATTATTAAGTGTTATCGGTGTTTATAATCATTAAGGCCTATATGCCGCGAGGATTATTAAGGCCACAACTAGCGTATTGACTAACCAAGAAGTATACTTTCGTGTTGAACATAGTTCATGACTAAAGTAAACTCCTTGATTATATCTCCGAGACCAGAGTGCGCCTCTTGGGGTATACTCACAGAATACAGTAACATGACCAAACCAGAGGTCGGAAAATGAAGAGACGACGACGTTTCGGTCCGTCGTGGACCGTGATCACGTCGTGTGACTGAAGAGAGACTTCGCGCCTTTTGAGTGTCCTACGATTTTGTTGGTGATACTTGGTCTTCCCGGCTTGGCACCTTCTTTTGATGACTACTTGTTACATATTCCCCTCATTCATATATCATATTTTGTCTTTGTATTGGTTTTCATATGCTTCCCTACCTTTTTTCCCTGGAGAAATCTGGACAAACAACGTTCATGTAACGGTGAATTAGCGTTGGTAACGAAGATCCACCGTTGATGAACCATTCCTGGAGCATGTTTTGCCTACTGGGATATACATTATACCCTCCAAGCAAGTTCAAGTATGTTTATTGAGACAAGAAAATATACTTATGCCCTCCTGGGAAGGTTATTGACTGTGCCAATATTGACAGTTACGTGACGTCAAGACAACGCCAGGAGGAGCTGGAGCGAGCAGCGGAGGAGCGCAAGAAGGAGCAGACCTGGTGCGACCCCCCAATACTCGCCGCCACGCCCAAGATACAGCGCAAGAAGCGTGAGAACCAGCACTGGCTCGAAGTCGGTCACAACGTCTTCTACAAGAACGAAGTTGGTGAGTGCCATAAGTTATGATGCATGGCAGTTCAAGCATCCTTTCCCCCGCTTCTTTCGGCCACCTGGTACCTTCATCTATTACCTCCAGTCCCCTGATACCTTCCCCAGTTATCTCCAGTCACCTGGTACCTTCCCCAGTTGCCTCCAGTCCCCTGATACCTTCCCCAGTTGCCTCCAGTCACCTGGTACCTTCCCCAGTTGCCTCCAGTCACCTGGTACCTTCCCCAGTTACCGCCAGTCACCTGGTACCTTCCCCAGTTGCCTCCAGTCACCTGGTACCTTCCCCAGTTGCCTCCAGTCACCTGGTACCTTCCCCAGTTGCCTCTAGTCCCCTGATACCTTCCCCAGTTACCGCCAGTCACCTGGTACCTTCCCCAGTTGCCTCCAGTCACCTGGTACCTTCCCCAGTTACCTCCAGTCACCTGGTACCTTCCCCGGTTACCGCCAGTCACCTGGCACATTCACTACTTACCACCAGTCAAGTGGTAGCAGTCAATATATAGTACTTGTACCGTTGTTGCCTTGGCCATCGCCTTACCATAAAATCCCAACTGATTCACAAATATCCAGTTAAACTAAGAAACTCTTCTATCCTGTGCCATTGGGTTTGCGGCAACGACTCCAGACTTAACTAGCCAACCTCTTATGGTGTTGAAAAGAGAGAGGCCCTGATCAGCTGGGTTGTGATTCATACATGGGACTAGGAGCTGTTACGTCTAAAGAGTCTGGTTGATCAAACCACCAACCAGGAGTCCTGGTCAGATAAATACCGTTCCTTCTCCTCATATTCCTGCCACAAGTATTTTCAATACATAATTACGTTGCATTTCAAATCTATTTCAATGTTCTGTTTCATCTGCCTCTCGCAGGAGTGATCAAGTACATTGGTCAGGTGGACTTCGAGGCTGGCACGTGGTTGGGCGTGGAGCTTCGAGCGGCCAAAGGTCGCCACGACGGTATGGTGCGTGGGCGGCGTTATTTCACCTGCCGCCCACACCACGGTATCATGGTCAAACCCAACAAGGTCTACGCCAGAGGTATCAATGGCGCAAAACTTGTCAGGCCTGAAGATGAGTGGGAAGAGTAGTGTGCCACTGTGAGCGGGCCAGGATTCACAAAGCACTTCAAGTATTCTCTTATCTCGATCATGATCCCCTTTTTCAGTATTTACCAAACAGGTTACGAGCTCCAAAACGCTTTCAGGTGGTCCTTGACAATAAGGATTTAGGGGTTGCGGACGACCTCATAGCGCTTCAGAGCTCGTGAGAAGTTTGGTAAATACCATCGAAATCGCCATGATTAATATAATAGTTATAGTTCGAGTAAGTGGACATAAAAGAGCTCTGAATGCTGAGAGGTGGGGAGTGGTACAAGTGGGTCAGCAGTGGTATAGGTGAACCCTGGCAAGGCAAGGCAAGGGCTCCATTTAGGCCAGAATGCTACTATGTTTATTTGTACTGTACACAGCTCCAAGAAGGCCTAAGCTGTGTTGTGCAGTTGTTACTGAACTTAGACTGGAAGAGTTGTTGTTGTTTTAAATTCAGCTACTGGGAACAAAATTTCTATGTAGCACGGGCTATAGTGAGCCCGTAAACTCACTGGAAGAGGAACGTGAGAATTTATATAGATTTCTCAAGTGAGGGTGAAGAGTCTGCAAGAAAAGCTTCAAATATAGAGAACTTTGCAATGTGTTGTATTACATACCCTGCACATTGCAATCGTATGTGTGCAAGACACAAATATTTAATACAATAAGCACCAGTGTGTTGCACATGGATATCTATTATGCAAATTGCTATATTTAATGACTTATTATAAACATTATTGATGCGACCATTTACATGTCTCAGCAACACCCTACAACAGCTAGTTAGTGTTGGCGTACGTGGAGTTTGTGTCTGGATATTGTACAGTGGTGTTATGAAAGCCTACCTGACATGGATAATGTTCGTAATTGTCGAACATTATGTCGACAATTACGACATAATGTCGTGAATATTTAACCCATATCAGATCACTGTTCTTGAACATATGTATAAATATGAGAGTTTTATTGTTGATAGATATATAATATATAGTATATATAAGTTTACCACTAAAATTAGAATTATGTTGACTGAAATACCTTGCACTTTCTAGATTAAACACTAGGTATTATGCTTTAAATAGTATAAAGGGGAGGGGGTACCAAAGGGGATTACAGGGTGTAGGAATCTACTTTCGTACCACTGATCGATCTGGATAGCTTAGGGAAGGGTAATTTATCAAAGGGGATTCCAGAGGGTACGAATTCACTTTCGTGAGACCTTGATAGTCCTGGACGGCTTTGATGTCATTTCATCTGCTCATATTCATCAAGTTAAATGTTTTTCTAGTGTCTAGTTTATATGGGGGAAATTCCCATAGTGTTGTAGAAATTCTATAATACTGCATATTGTAAATATAGATTTTAGTTAATATAATAATATGTAATTTGAAGATTTTATATATTGTTGTCAGACGGCCTTCTCTGCCAGACCAGAGAGTGTGTTTCACGTGTGGCTGATAATACTCACATATTGTCAAGTACTTCAATTAAAGTATCGTGATGTAATATACATGTATTGTTTCATTAACTTTCCAATTGCTTTATAATATGATCTTTGGTGTCCAGACCCTTACCACTGATATTGATTCGTCTGATCTGTAAACAATCAAAGTAGTTTTATTGAATATAATGAATATATATCAGGTTATATGTGCAGTATACTTGTGCATCAATTTTAACCATTGTACTGTTAAATAGGTTTTGACTGAACTCATGAATGCCATGTATTTCACACCTACAGTATATTGTATGCCGACATGAATTTTATTCCTAACATATTTTATGGCTTCTGTCTGTTTTATGCCTACCATTTATTTAATGCCTATTGTGTATTTTATGCCTATAGTGTATTTTATGCCTTTAGTGTATTTAATGCCTATAGTGTATTTTATGCCTTTAGTGTATTTTATGCCTATAGTGTATTTTATGCCTATAGTGTATTTTATGCCTTTAGTGTATTTAATGCCTATAGTGTATTTTATGTCTATAGTGTATTTTATGCCTATAGTGTATTTTATGCCTACCATGTATTTAATGCCTATAGTGTATTTTATGCCTTTAGTGTATTTTATGTCTATAGTGTATTTTATGCCTGTAGTGTATATTATGCCTTTAGTGTATTTTATGCCCTTAGTGTATTTTATGCCTTTAGTGTATTTTATGAATACATGCTTATCTTCTATTTAATGAATACCATGTATTTTATGCCTGCGATATATTTTATACCTTCAGTCTATTTTATGCCTATTGTGTATTTTATGCCTATAGTGTATTTTATGCATATCGTGTATTTTATGCAAATCGTGTATTTTGTGCCTACCATGTATTTTGCCCAAACTGTATTGTATGCCAATCATGTATTTTTTACATATATTATTTTTCTGTATCTCTCGTAGGTCATTCTATTGTCTTAGTGTGAACAACCATTATTTATGTTAATACTGCAGTGTCCTGATAATAGTGTATATTCGACCATATCGTTTAATGATCACAGTCTATTATAATTGTATCAATTGTTACTATTTCACAATTTATATTGAAATCCAAGTCACCCAAATTTGTATAGCTTGACTTATCTTGTTGTTATATTATATAGGATCATCTTGATATTATACCCACTTGTTCTTATATCCCTTGTTATTATATCTGTTTATTCTTATATTCCTTGTTTTTGTATCACCTCATTCTTGTATTCTCTCATTCTTGTATCACATCGTTCTTGTATCCTCTCATTCTTGTATCCCCTCATTCTTGTATTCTCTCATTCTTGTATCACATCGTTCTTGTATCCTCTCATTCTTGTATCCCCTCATTCTTGTATTCTCTCATTCTTGTATCACATCGTTCTTGTATCCTCTCATTCTTGTATCCCCTCATTCTTGTATTCTCTCATTCTTGTATCACATCGTTCTTGTATCCTCTCATTCTTGTATCCCTCATTCTCATTTCTTGTATCCCCTCATTCTTGTATTCTCTCATTCTTGTATCACATCGTTCTTGTATCCTCTCATTCTTGTATCCCCTCATTCTTGTATTCTCTCATTCTTGTATCACATCGTTCTTGTATCCCCTCATTCTTGTATCCCCTCATTCTTGTATTCTCTCATTCTTGTATCACATCGTTCTTGTATCCCCTCATTCTTGTATTCTCTCATTCTTGTATTCTCTCATTCTTGTATCACACATCGTTCTTTGTATCCCCTCATTCTTGTATTCTCTCATTCTTGTATCTCTCATTCTTGTATCACATCGTTCTTGTATCCTCTCATTCTTGTATCCCCTCATTCTTGTATTCTCTCATTCTTGTATCACATCGTTCTTGTATCCCCTCATTCTTGTATTCTCTCATTCTTGTATTATCCTCTCATTCTTGTATCCCTCATTCTTGTATTCTCTCATTCTTGTATCACATCGTTCTTGTATCCCCTCATTCTTGTATCCCCTCATTCTTGTATCCCCTCATTCTTGTATCCCCTCATTCTCATTCTTGTATCACATCGTTCTTGTATCCTCTCATTCTTGTATTCTCTCATTCTTGTATCACATCGTTCTTGTATCCCCTCATTCTTGTATTCTCTCATTCTTGTATCACATCGTCTTGTATCCCCTCATTCTTGTATTCTCTCATTCTTGTATCACATCGTTCTTGTATCCCCTCATTCTTGTATTCTCTCATTCTTGTATTCTCTCATTCTTGTATCACATCGTTCTTGTATCCTCTCATTCTTGTATCCCCTCATTCTTGTATTCTCTCATTCTTGTATCACATCGTTCTTGTATCCTCTCATTCTTGTATCCCCTCATTCTTGTATTCTCTCATTCTTGTATCACATCGTTCTTGTATCCTCTCATTCTTGTATCCCCTCATTCTTGTATCCCCTCATTCTTGTATCCCCTCATTCTTGTATCCCCTCATTCTTGTATTCTCTCATTCTTGTATCACATCGTTCTTGTATCCTCTCATTCTTGTATCACCTCGTTCTTGTATCCCCTCATTCTTGTATCCCCTCATTCTTGTATCCCCTCATTCTTGTATTCTCTCATTCTTGTATCCCCTTGTTCTTGTATCCCCTCATTCTTGTATCCCCTTGTTCTTGTATCCCCTCATTCTTGTATCACCTCGTTTTTGTATCCCCTCATTCTTGTATCCTCTCAGTCTTGTATCTACTTGTTTGTAAATCCTTTTATTTATCTATCCATTTGTTTGGTTTGCAGATGTGGAACAACTCTAGGTAAGGTCAGGTTCCCAGGTGTGGAGCAACACCAGACAAGGTCAGGTTCCCAGGTATTTATCTATCCATTTGTTCTGGTTTGTAGATGTGGAGCAACCATAGGTAAGGTCAGGTTCCCAGGTGTGGAGCAACACCACACAAGGTCAGGTTCCCAGGTATTTATCTATCCATTTGTTCTGGTTTGTAGATGTGGAGCAACCATAGGTAAGGTCAGGTTCCCAGGTGTGGAGCAACACCACACAAGGTCAGGTTCCCAGGTGTGGAGCAACACCACACAAGGTCAGGTTCCCAGGTATTTATCTATCCATTTGTTCTGGTTTGTAGATGTGGAGCAACCATAGGTAAGGTCAGGTTCCCAGGTGTGGAGCAACACCACACAAGGTCAGGTTCCCAGGTGTGGAGCAACACCAGACAAGGTCAGGTTCCCAGGTATTTATCTATCCATTTGTTCTGGTTTGTAGATGTGGAGCAACCATAGGTAAGGTCAGGTTCCCAGGTGTGGAGCAACACCACACAAGGTCAGGTTCCTAGGTGTGGAGCAACACCACACAAGGTCAGGTTCCCAGGTGTGGAGCAACACCACACAAGGTCAGGTTCCCAGGTGTGGAGCAACACCACACAAGGTCAGGTTCCTAGGTGTGGAGCAACACCACACAAGGTCAGGTTCCCAGGTATTTATCTATCCATTTGTTCTGGTTTGTAGATGTGGAGCAACCATAGGTAAGGTCAGGTTCCCAGGTGTGGAGCAACACCACACAAGGTCAGGTTCCCAGGTGTGGAGCAACACCAGACAAGGTCAGGTTCCCAGGTATTTATCTATCCATTTGTTCTGGTTTGTAGATGTGGAGCAACCATAGGTAAGGTCAGGTTCCCAGGTGTGGAGCAACACCACACAAGGTCAGGTTCCTAGGTGTGGAGCAACACCACACAAGGTCAGGTTCCCAGGTGTGGAGCAACACCACACAAGGTCAGGTTCCTAGGTGTGGAGCAACACCACACAAGGTCAGGTTCCCAGGTGTGGAGCAACACCACACAAGGTCAGGTTCCCAGGTGTGGAGCAACACCACACAAGGTCAGGTTCCCAGGTGTGGAGCAACACCACACAAGGTCAGGTTCCCAGGTGTGGAGCAACACCACACAAGGTCAGGTTCCCAGGTGTGGAGCAACACCACACAAGGTCAGGTTCCCAGGTGTGGAGCAACACCAGACATGGTCAGGTTCCCAGGTGTGGAGCAACACCAGACGTGGTCAGGTTCTAAGCCCTGTATGAGTCGCCGGGCTCCGAAGACTATAGCGTCCTCACGGCAGAACTGTACGCTCTCTTGTATGCACTTCCTTAACTGATTTCCCGACGCCAACGTTCGTATCTCATTGTGGTTGGCTCCCGCAGTGCCCTCGTGACCCTGGAGTCATTTAACTCTATACATCCTGTGGAAGTAGAAATTCAACATTACCAATTTCTTCTCTCCAGCAGATTTAAGACAGATGAATTTTGCTGGGTTCCCAGCCATGTTTATGTTATTTTAAATAAACAGGCGGACACTGACGCTAAGGAGGCTATCTGCAAAGGTCCTATTTCTAAAAAAGGTGTTATTTATTCACAGGTCACAAGGTCACTGTTTTACAGGTCAAAAGGTCACCATGGTTCACAGGTCAAAAGGTCACCATGGTTCACAGGTCAAAAGGTCATCATGGTTCATAGGTCACAAGGTCATCATGGTTCATAGGTCACAAGGTCACCTTGCCTCACAGGTCACAAGGTCACCTTGCCTCACAGGTCACAGGGGCGCCATAGCACAGCGGATGATAGCTGAAGAAAGATTACTATAACGAGGTGAAACACAACTAGAGTTCAGGTCACGAAAGTCGAGCTTCCGGGGGGGTTGGGGGCGTTGAGGTGAGGAGAAGCGGTGATGAGGGAGGAAGAGGTTGATCTGGGTGGAGGAGGTGTGGGGGGGAGATGGTGGGTGTTGTGACGGGCCTGGGGAGGGGTGGGGAAAGGTTCACCCTGTAGAGTAGGATCAGTCGCAAGGCAGCAGCCGGCTCAGGGACCGGATTTAGAAGTAAGGGAGCTCTGGCCTTAGGAGGATAAAACTAGCCTAAGCTGTTCTGACCTTTTGTGATGAATGAGGTAATCAATGGGAACCTTGAGGAGGATTCAAACTTGCTCACTGAGTACTCCCAAGCACACGCCTTAACACCACTCATAAGTACCTAGTGGGCATGTTCAATGCAGCCTCGTGGCTCCTACTGACTTTTCTAATTGATACATTGTGCA